CCAGCCGTGCTGCCCGGGTTTCCGCGTCCCAGCTGCTCAGGCGCACAGTTCCGGAATGGAGGGAGGAAGTCCAGTTCCCTCTGCCAGGTTCCCGCTCCTTCCCTCCTTCCATTCCTCCCTTGCTCCCTTTGCGCGCTGCGCTCGCGCGGAGGAGAGCTGAGGTAGTCCAGCCCGGGTGCCAGGGGATTCCGAGGCACTTCCCCTTTCCTCCGGCCTCTCGAGAAGCTCCAGACAGAGAAGCGTTGACTTTGGGCACCTTATCCTGAGAAGGACAGGGTATGAGGGAAAAAAGCATCTTTTTCTCACAGCTGCCAAGTTGCCCAACCTAGGGTTTTTCTTTGGGGAGGAGAACTACGCTCCAGAAAACTCAGATGTGTCTGGAATAACATAGCGTTTACAATTGAAAAAAAAAAATTAATTAAATAACCATTGCATTTAAAATTGCTAAAAATGATTTTCCTTCTTCTTTTTTTTTAATGCTTAGCACACGTTTTTGATGCTCTCCTAAAAGATCCAACTGAGCGGCTGAAGAAGCAACAATGTTGTAGAACTAAACTCCACTCCTTGGACATCCCTCTAGAGGCGTATGTTGTTGTTATGTGCGTTGAGTCGGACCCGACTCATAGCGACCCCTCCTTGGGTTTCCGAGGCGGTATCACTATGGAAGTAGATTGCCCCATCTTCCTTCCGAGGGGGTGGCTAATGGGTTTGAACCGCCAGCCTTCTGGTAAGCAGTCAAGTGCCTGAAGCACTAGGCTACCAGAACTCCCCTAGAAGCATATAAGGTTCCAATATTAGGGCCACCACTCTGTGGGATTCCCTACCCAGGACTGAAACCAGTCACGTTTTTACTGACAGAATTGCAAAGCTGGAAAATACAGAGTAGGGAATAGTGCAGAAAAACTAGATGAAATATGAAGGTAGGGTTTTCGGATTTTTTTTTTTTTTTTTTTTTTTCCAATGAGTATTTCCTCAAAGTTGTTGTAAGAGCTTTGGTGGTGCAGTGGCTAAGGCATTCACCTAACAAAGAGGTTGGCTGTTTGAACCTATCAGTTGCACCACAGGAGAAGGATGAGGCACTCTGCTTCTGTACAGATTTACAGCCTTAGAAACTATGGGGCAGTTCTACTTTGTCCCACAGGGTCTTATAAATCAGAATGAACTGGATGGCAATGGTTTGGGTTTGGTTGTAGAAATACACATGGTGGCTGGCCTTGAATAAGCAATGGGACTTCCATGTGATCTCCCCAGGGAGGCTGTTAAATCCAAAACTCAAAAAACCAAACTCACTGCCATCCTGTCAATTCTGACTCACAGCAACCCCCTTTGGGTTCCCAAGACTGTAATTATTTATGGAAGTAGATTGCCTTGTCTTCCACCTGAGAAGCAGTTGGTGCATTTAAACCACCGACCTTCTGGTTAGCAGCTAAATGCCTTAACCACTACACGAGAGGGAAAGAAAAACTCTTTCAGAATGTCCTTCTGGTTTTGAGAAACTGTTCAAATTAGAACAGAATTGAATAGTAGAAGTAAAGTAAATTCACCACAGGATGCCTGGGGACTGAGTGAAACTCTTCACTGGAAGCAATAGTACCTGTTTGCAGAAGATCAGAAGGGATTGGCTCAAAAACCCTGAACTCACACAGTGAGAGACCACAGCAAGAGCCCTGTGCAAAGGCACCTTCAGATTGTCCAAAGGAAGCAAACAGGAATACCCATCAAGGCAGTCAGTGAAGTTCAAAGGAGAAGTTGGTGGTTCATGAACTACAAAGCCACTGATAAATATTCTCTGAGTAAAACTGAGGAAGGAAGTCAGCTATCATCTAGGAGATTGGGGTGCACCTGAGCATACACAGTCAGGAATGACAAGGAAATATTCCTTCCAAAAACATTCACTGGGCATCTCTTCCAGTAAGGACCATGATTTAAAAAAAAAAAAAAAAAACCACTGCCATCGAGTTGATTCCAACTCATAATGATCCGCATTGGGTTTCCAAGGCAGTAAATCTTTACAAAAGTAGGTTGCCCCATAATCCTTCTGTGCAGTGACTGGTGGGTTTGAACCCCCAACCTTTGGGTTAGCAGTCAAATGCCTTAGGCACTAAAGCACCAGAGGTCCTAAGGACCATGATAGAAGTGTACAGAGGGACAGTGGGTATGCAGGGATCATAGGGATGCACAGAATGAATGGTCATTTCTGGGAGGAGGGCTATGAGAAAGTCTACTGGGCAGCTGTTGCTTGACTGGAGCTTGAAAAACGAGTAGGTGTCCACCACCAGGTCAAGTAGAGAAAGCATGTCTGGCAAATGTCAGTGGCTATGACATTGTTTAGGTCATACCTCTGGAGCCAGACTGCCCTAGATCAAAACCAACTTTTGCTGCTAGTTAGCTGTGCAATCTTGACCTTTGGCAAGATACAAATCTTAATGAGTTTCAGTGTACTCAACTATAAAGTTGGGAGAACCATACTATTTCCTTTATAGCGTAGTGCCAAAGTCACTTTACTGCTAACCAGAGGCTGGTTGTTCAAACCCACCAGCCACTCCTCGGAAGGAAGGTTGGGCAATCTACTTCCCTAGTGATACCACCTCAGAAACCCAAGGAGGGATCACTGTGAGTCAGGTCTGACTCAATGGCACATAACAACAATAACAACAAGTGTATAATATATTTAAGCATTTGGAACACATAAGCACTCTGTAAATGTTAACTCATATTACTAAATGTACAAAACAATGCACACATCCATATTTTATATATTATTGAACTCTTATTATCTGCTATATATCAAATATGACAAAAACATGGAAGTAGATATTAAAACAATTGGGAGGGGATAGAAAGAATACTGTGCCCTTACCTCTCTCTCCTTGCACTTTCCAAGTTCCTGCGTGTGCCTCTTTTAGCTGACTCAAATAGAAGCCAAAAGGCAAGGGAACTCAAGGGATGCTTCTACTGAAAGCAGCTCTCTGGGCATAGAGCAGGGTGAAGAGGGATGGAGAGTGGCTCTGGAGGGGCAAATGGAGAATATCCAGCACATGTAGTAACAGCTTCCTACTGTTGTTTATCTCTGCCTGCTCATCATCCTTTGTTGCTTCCCTAATCTGTCCCATATCTCTTCAGTAGTCCTTTCATTAAAGCCTCTTGAACCATCCTGAGTTGGTTTCTGTTTCCTTTCAGGACCCTGACTGATACAGTAGTTGGTACCAAGAGTGGTCTCAGGAAACACAGTTCTTCAATGTGGAAGGGGGTAGGAGGTGAAGGTGGGGAATGAGTTCAGGACTTCCAATTCTCAGCTCAAGCACCATATAAGTGACCTGAAAATGTCTGTGTGTGCCCTGGGGAAAACCATATGTCCTACAGCCACAAAGCTTGATTTTTGAAAACCAAACCCAGAGTCTCATCCTGCAAATTACAAGACAAATTTAATTCCTAACCTCATAGACATAGAGTGCCTGTTAATAAAGTGAGGGTATTGATTGGGAAAGAATGACTCCTAAAAATTGGAATGGGGACATATTGGCAGATTGTGATGAAATTGGAGACATTGAGTCCCTTGATAACATGGATGGACCTCATCTAATCACTCAAAGGCCTAAAGACCAAAAACTGAGGTTTCCCAAAGAAGAAGTTCTGTCTCCAGGCTGCAATATCTATTCCTGCCTGAGTTTCTAACTTGCAGACCTGCCTTACAGATTCAGACTTGCCAACCTCCACTATCATGTGAGATGTGAGCCAGTACCTTAAAATAAATTTCTTTAGATAGAGAGAGAGATATCTCCTATTGGTTCTTTTTCTCTGGAAAACTCTAACTGCTAAACTGGGTTTTTTTTCCAGTGGAGTGCTGACTGTTATCTAACAGAACCCTCCAGAACTGTCTGAATTTATAGGAGTATGCAGTTTTGATTGGCTTTCTACTGAATAGGCTATTTTAAAAAGTAAAGATGTCACTTTGATAACTCAGGTGCACCCAGCCCCATGATCTTTTCAATTACCTCATAAGCATGCATTAGTTGGATAGTGAAAAAGAAGACAGAAGAATTGATGTGTTCAGACTGTGATATTGACAAAGAATATTGAATATACTATGGACTGCCAAAAGAACAAACAAATCAGTCTTAGAAGAAATACAACCAGAATATTCCTTAGAAGCAAGACACTTCAAGAAGTGACACTTCAACTCACTTACTTTGGACACATCATCAGGAAAGAGCAATCTCTAGAAGGTTAGGTTTCATGTTAGGTATCATGTTTGGTAAAGGGTCAAGGGAAACTCTGTACGAGATGGATTGAATAGCTGGACTCAAGCATGTTATTGATCATGAAGATGGCACAGGACTGGCAACATGTTGTTCTATTAAACATAAGGTCACCATGAGTCAAAGCTGACTCTATGGCAACTAACAACAATAAGGCTATTTTATAACTGTCAGGAGTTAGAGGAGGCCCTGGGTGGCTTACAGAAAACTTAATGCAAACGATTCTTGTCCAAAAGCACTGCAAATGAACTATTTCCATAGAGATATCCCCTACAGTTTTCCACATATTAGCAAATTCATGTTAGCATTCCTAGCTATGTATCTATATCTATGCCTATTTCTCTTCTTCAAGTCTCCTTTGATCTATGTTCATTTTATGTTTGCATGAGAGTCATGTTTTTAAGTTTTTGAAAACTATAGTAGTAAGAAGAATGACACTTGTGGTGGTTAAGTTTGTGTGTCAACTTGGCTGGGCCTGGGTGAGTGGCTGGGCAGCTGGTGATAGTGATTCCCCATGATGAGACTGGCAATCAGCTCCATGGTGGGATC